AAAAATGTATACATGATTTGATTATTTGTTATGGGGAGACTTGGCCTTTCTCTGGAACAGGTACAGCGCTAGCCACTGCTGAAGGAAAAACACTGAATTAGAGGCAGTACTTGACTGGAAGGTGCCAGGTGGCCACAGCAATATTCATCCTATGCTCCCCCACAATCTGTTCTCCTCGTCTCCACCCCCATTCAGTCCAGTTGTATGCACATTCACTAACCAACACTTAATCAGTTTTGCATGCCCCTTCCCAAGCAGTTCTTACCCAGTCTCCCCACCCCAGACAATTCAATTCTGTCTTTTCCTTCCCCAGTTCATCTGCTGTAGCTCCCTCTCAGTCATGTAATCAGTTCTGTCCTTAGCCAATCAATTAATCAGTTGTGTGTCCATCATTCCTTAAGCTCTTGAATTCTGCTCTCCTTTTCATGTCATCAGTGCTCATACATTCCATCTCTTTTTCCTCTCTCCCCCCGTCCCCTGTTGGTTTCAACAATATTTGTCTTGGAGACCTGGCTACTCACCCCAAAATTCCCCTTATTTGGGTTTGAATTAAGGGGAAGTGGAAAACTCCTGGACTGGCTGAGTAAGGATGCAGCCTAGGTTTCATGCCACTGTTTTTTTGGGGCCTGACTGGTGATGGGCTGGGAGAGGTTTCAATGACCCCTGACTCACTCTCTTCTTTCTCTATTACTTGATTGAGAAAGAAGGGCAGCTATACACTGACTCTTTTCCTGACTCCTTGCTTGGCTGCAGGAATCTCTCATCGTCAAGGCAGAAACAGAGTGAGCCATCTAACAGCCGGGCTAATGGAACTTGTGGGACCCCGTCTGCATGGTGCATCAGCACCATTAGGTGATAATACTGTGCATCACTCACAGTCTAACAACAAATGTGACAGCAGCCTGTAGGAGCCACTCCCAAAAAACACATTTATAACCATGCAGAGCGCTGAGGAAGGGGGCTTCCAATCAGCACCAGGAACCTAACACATTTATGGGCAACTCTCCACAACCCAGTCTACATCACTACACCCAGTTAAAATGGCTTGATGGTGTAATCCAGGATAGCAAGTCTTATATTAATATTTTAATGAACTGGTTAGTGTATATACGTAGAAGTGCCCGTCACGGATGGAACCAGAACTTTTCATCTGTGTGTCCTTGATCCTATATTAACATCTTAACATGTTACGAAGATTCTCTTTCAGTTCAGATGGTAAGGGCCTGTGCTATTTGAACTGCGTATAAGACTTATGTATGTTCCTAACTTCTGATTTAGTGCAGAGTAGGTATTGTACCTAATGGCAAAGGTGATAAAAAGAGGGAGGTGAATGTGTGACAGTGGATATTATCCAAGTGGAGTGAGGTGTATGTACTTCTGAGCAAGACTCTTATGGAGAGTACAAATATGTCCTGTTTGACTTTTGATTAATCTCATACCCTCACAGGTAGAATTTCCCCAGATCATAATTATTCAGTGAATCCACATTAGCCACCATTTTGCTCAGCTTCACACAAAAAGAAAAGCACTCGTGGAAGTTCACACAGTCCACAACTCCCTCTTCTCCCAACAACCACCCAACAACCTTGCCATTAACTTTTTTAAAAAATTGTTTTAATTCTCCCCCATCTCAAAAGAAAAAGTTGCTTTAAAAGTGACAATGAGATATTAGAAAAGTAGCATTCACAGCCTGAGAAAAGTGTGCCAGTTTATTGGAAAACAGTTGTTTTTCTCTGTCGAACCTTGTAAAAAACAAAAGAAGAAGAAGAATTGTTACACATCACATACTGGGTAATATGTCTCTTGAAGAAGTTCTCCACGTCTCAGAAAATCACGGATGGAAGAATTGTTATGGTAATGCTCCATCTTCCCCCTCCCACCCCAAATGAAATTGCAAAGTGAATGTGAAGCAAGACTTGTTACCTAAGTGAAGATTTTTCCTGGGCAGCTGGACACATTCTGCTTCCTTTCAGTCAGACTGACTCTTTAAAAAAGAAAGGGATAACACAGTATATGCCCACCTGCACACAATATTAACATACCCACAGTGAAATAGGACACACCCTTTCTATCGCAGAAATAATCCTTTGAGGTTCTCGACTCCTAAACTAGAGAATAAAATAAACTGACAGCTGAGTGTTTGCATCAAGCAAAAGTAGTCCACAAAATACATTTGGGTTTAGAACAGGAGTATGTTTGGTTTATAATCCTTCTCTCTGCACTTAAAGCCCTTCTTTCTCTGTCCCTTCCACACAATTTGGCTATTTCAGTGCAAGAGCCCTGCGCTTTGCAGTTGATGAGCTCTGGAACAATTTTCTTCTACCTCTGTGCCCCATCAACACTCCATCTCATTCCAAATCTCTGCAGAACACATCTTTTCACCCTTATCTAAACCTCTTAGCTCTGCTCTCCCTTAGCTATTGCTTAATATTTAACTAATTATATTCCACATTTCTGTGCAGCATTTTGGAATGCACTGTGTGTGAAATAGGTTATACAATGTATTTTTTTTTAATTCCAGGGTACAAATATTAAAACCTGTGCATATCACCTTTTGGGAGAAAACAAAATGTTAACAGGTAGAACTCTGTACTGAATGAAATACAACTTGAAAGCTTAATTCAGCAAAGGGGAGGTTTCCCTTAGGATGAACCAACCAGGTTATGTCCTGACATTCTATTGATTTTAACGGAATGCCCCTTTTACAAGGGGCAGGACAAGAGGCCATTCAGCAGTCAGTGCTCCAGGGCTCAGCACATAATGCAAAGTAAAGCCTTACTGCCACTGAATGAAACCCCACTTCACTGCCATTGGACATCTGACCTACTATGTGAGACTTTGCTGACATTTTAAATTGTTATTCCACTGAGATCAAAAAACAACACCAGGATATAGGGAAACAGTTAATTTTTTTTCTTTCCCCCTTTTTTTCTAACTCCCTAGACCAGCTGCCCAAATACATGAATTATTTCTACCCAGCCCCAAGCAAAGTGGACACCTTTTACTAACCTATCCCTAGGAATTCTTGTATTTTATATTATATCACCCACAAATAAGGGGAGGTGTTTTGATAGGACGGTCATGGGATGAGGTGAGATATTAAACAGAGGTACCATATGTGTGCAACAGATCTCTGCATGGCAGCTGCTCAACTTAATTTTAATCATAATGCCAGACAGGCCAACTTCAGTCTACCTGATCCTATTACCAAAGTTTATCTGAAATGTTACTCAGTTGCCATTATCCAGTAGTTTCATGATGCTGAAATAAGACAAGTATCCTCAGCCCAATTTAACTTAGCTCTGGAATAGGATGAAATTGAAGTCCTCCAAGCTTCAAATCTGCTTCATTTGTATCTTTTAATGTTATAAATCAAAATGTATAGTAGACAAGAAGACAGTATTCTGTTTATTATAATGGCCATTAAGGGAAATTCCTGTTTGTATAAGACACAGAAACTGTTGTTTGACTTTTATTAAAAGATGTCCATTGCTGAAAAGGGACGTGTTTTCCTGTTAAAGTAAATTATCCGCACACCCACACAACCCATCATCATCATCATCCAGCACTCTGTTTCCAACGGTTCAATCAGAAAGCAGGACAAACGGCAATAGGTCATGATACCAACTCACAAACATCCTTGTTGAAAACCCAATATGAGTTTGAAGCTAAGTGGAAAATGGCTGAAAACACATGAACAGGCACACACTTCTTCCCTGTTTTTAACTTTTTAAAGACGTTTCAAAGCAAGAAGGTTGTTTGCAGAACCGGTGCTAGGCAGAAGCAGACTAAGCAATTGTTTAGGGCCCCAAACAGCTCAAAGGGGGCCCCCTATTCACTTTTTATTATAAGAACTTGCCTGTTTTAGTACTGGGGGTGGGCAAAAATATTCCTGCTTAGGTCCCCCAATGGGCGAGCATCAGCTAGAGAGACAAGGTGGGTCAGCTAATATTCTTCTTGGTCAAATAAAAGGTATTACCTCACCTGCCTTTTCTCTCAAAGCAAAAGAGTAAGTTTAAGATGTTACCCAGGATCTGTGTTCCAGGAAAAATCTAAAGTCTTTATTTTTACTGCAATTTGTTTTAGACAACTTCAAGAGAATATTTAATCAAAACGACCAGTTCCCCAGAGAATAGCATGACATTTTTAACAGGTCATACATGCCAGCTGTCTCTGTTTAGGAGAAATGGCCCTTATTTCCCCCACTCTATCCATCCAAAAGGTCTCTCATATGACAGAGTTTCAACTGGGGTAAGAGAACAATATCTCAAGTCTCACCCTCCCAGAGTAAGACTTCATGCTGTCCCAATCAGATCATTAGATTTATTCACATAATATTTTCAGAGAGAGGGCTAAATTTTATTCTGTTCTGTGGATTGCATTCCAGACCTCTGTTTTGTGTTGTGCTCTGCCTTAACAGAGTTCTTTGCTATGACTTCACACTAAGCCAAAAGTAAACACTCCTTCCTTTTTCCATGGACAACCTATCCCAAAATAGTGGCATTTGCATCAATGGAAACAGGAACAGCAATCTTCCCAGGCATGAGAAAAAAAGTCCTTCAAACACACACAAGTCCCAACGAGCTTCCTAGAAATTAGACACCAAGCTGCACTGCTGTACACCGCCTGAGAAAAGGACCTTATCAATTACACAAAGGCACTTAATGAAACAAAGGCATAGCAATAAATAATTAAAGATATTCTGAAAACACCTGTAGTTTAAATTTACCAAACACTTCTACAGCACACACAGATTTACTAACCAAAACACCACATACAGGATTCTCACCGTTTTTTGGAATATTCTTTCCTACAACAGGCCTTGATGAGACAGGTGCTAATATGAATAAAGAGCAATACAGCATTCAAAACTAAAATACACAGTTCTGTTGTATGGAGTTGATGCATGCCTTATTTTCTCCTTAGCTCCTGACAGACTCTCCAGTCAGTTTTAAACAAGGTCTACAAAAGAGTAAAATTGGACATCTGTGAGGACTTACCAGATTGGAATTGGTGGCATTGGAATCATCTTCTGGAAAGGGGATATAGATAGCTAAGGCCACACAATTGGCAAAAATAGTCAGTAAAATAATTATTTCAAATGGTCTGAGGAATGGAGTTAAGGAAGTTATTCTGAAATGCGTGCACACAAGTAAAAAAAAAAAGATTTATAAGAATTCTGTTTAAAGAAAACATTCCAAGACCCTTATATTCTGAAAAGAAACATATGCCTTTTTAAGTGCTTTTAGGAGGTCCCAGCCAAGATTCTTCCTAATATGTCAAAAGCAGTGTAGGCCAGTCGCGTGCCAGAGTAAACACAGATTTCTTAAATGTTTTTTCTTCTTTTATTTAGATTGAATTTTACTTTATTTTCCCCTCATGTATAGTTGTGCTATTTTTAATAGAAATGCCTATTCAGACTGGACCTCTCTTTCCTTTTGTGATACAGTTTCTCTTGTCCATATACAGCTGTCATTTAGGACTATATATTTTAAATATTTTTGACAGCAGTTTAGCATTTCTTAACCCTGTTCCCTCACATTTCAAAGAGACATTCAATGAAGCACTAGGATCTGTAACAAATAGCTTGTGATATATTTTTAACACAGCATCTCTTTCCTCAGTCTTGATCTCAAAAGGAATTAAGAGTGTGTGCGTGTGTTTAACCAGAGGTTGTTTAAAAGGCATGATCAAGGTTGTTAAGGTAAAAAGTGGCCCATCTTAAAGTTTTCATACTGCACCACCTTATCTGAAGGATTCAAGCCAGGGATTTTTTTTTTTAATAATCTATTTGCTGGAATAGGATTTTTTTTAATTGTATTTTTGTGTACATTGGCTTCACATGCAAAACAAATGACAGCCTAGCCAATATGTCAGGGATACTCTTTAGCCAAACACACACTATGCCAGGAAACGTATGCAGGGGCATTTCAGCTCCAAGGTGTGCGTGCACACACGCTTTTTAAAAATTTACTTTTGGGGCGCACAGTAAGGCCCAAATCCTGCACAACCACTTATACATATAGAGCCCTATCCAATGTCCATTGAAACCAATGTGAGTCTTTCCACTGAGTTCAGCAGGAATTGGATTGGAGCCACACTTAACTTTATGCACACATGGACTCATTGATCTTAATAGGACCACTCAGGTGCATAGAGTTACATACACAAGTGTGCAATATCAGGCCTAGAGCTGTGAAAATAACCAATTTTTTGGTTCACTGGCCAAACTGAAAAATCTAACAAAAAATCAAAATTGTTTTAGATTGACCCAAAATGTAAATTGTTCAGTTTTCTCAGAGAAACAAACAGAAAACAAAACAAAACAAAACAATGAAAAAATAATTTATTTCAGGTTGATCAAAACATAATATTTCAATTTCAGGCATTCACCAAGCGGAGAAGCAGGTGGGAATATTTTTTACCCTTTTTACCCAATAGCCAAGTGTACGCACCCAGGATATGGGGGACCCAGGTTCAAGTCCCTCCTCTGCCTGATGTGGAGCATGGATTTGAACTTGAGTCTCCCACATTGCAGGTGAATGCCCTACTCAGTGGGTGGGTCTCAATCTCTCCTGCTGAACCTTTTCCACTTTATATAAATAGTCACTAGAGCAGGGGTGGGCAAACTACACCCTGCGGGACAGATCCGGCCTGCAAGCCGTTTTAAGCTGGCCTGCGAGCCAGACCACACGGCTCAGCCCCGCTCCAGCCAGGGTACTAGGTTGGGGCCGCACCACGCGGGTCAGCCCCGCTTTGGCCGGGGTGCTGGGTCGAGGGCTGGACCACACAGCTCAGTCCGGGGGCCACACCATGCAGCTCCCAGAAGCCATGGCATGGCCACGCTCTGGCTCCTATGCGCTCCAGTGGGAGCTGCAGGGTCGGTGCCTGTGGATGGGGCAGTGTGCAGAGCTGCCTGGCCATGCCCCCGCATAGGAGCAGGAGAAGGGACATGCCACTGCTTCTGGGAGCCACTTGAGGTAAGCACCACTCAGAGCCTGAACTCCCTGAACCTCTCCCCATGCCCCAACCCCCTGCCTCAGCCCTGATCCCCTTCCCACTCTCCAAACCCCTCAATCCCAGCCCAGAGCACCCTCCTGTACCCAAACCTCTCATCCCCAGCCCCACCCCAGAGCCCACACCCCAACCCCAATTTTATGAGCATTCATGGCCCGCCATACAATTTCTATTCCCCGATGTGGCCCTCGGGCCAAAAAGTTTTACCCCCCTGCACTACAGCCTGGACATGAACCCAGGTGTTCCCCTTTCTGAGGTGAGTGCCCTACCCACCAAAGTGTAGTCTCACTCTCTGGCTCTGGCCCAATGAATTTACAAAAAGTGGTACAGCTTCAACAGGAGACATTGAGAGAGACCCACACCAGGATACCCTATAGTCCAGTGGTTAGGGAACTCACATTCAATGCAGGAAACTCAAGTTCATATTCCTGCTCCATCTCAGGCAGAAGAGGGGCTTGAACCCAAGTCTCCTATATCCTGAGTGAATGCTCTTGGCTTGGGTAAAAGGGGAATATGGGCACCACCTCCAGTTTTGTGAGTGGCACCTAAATCCCCATGTCACTCTAGCCTAAAAATTGTTGGGGGGGGGCAAAGGGGGCTGAAACTATTCAGTGAATTCAACACACGTTTGTGAATAATTTCTGGTTAACCAAAACTTCATTTTTTGGTGGTGAAATTTTTCTGATGAACTAGTTTATTCCAGCTCTAATCAGCACCCAAATTCTTGTTGGCTGCTGCTTTTTAAGGTCTTTTTCTGAAAGGAACAGTGTCAGTTTAGAAATTAAATACTGGAAACATACATTTATTTAACTATTGTATGCTACTAATAAGACCGTAGATTATGGAAAGTGAATGAATTTTTAAAATCCAGTTTGTCACCCTTTATGGCCTTTGTTTACTTTTTCTCTCTCTCTCTTTGGACAATCAGTTCTGATCCTAGTTCTGCAAAGACATGGATATGATTCCCAGTGTTTAAAGTTAAATACATGCCCAAGCCTTTGAAGAATCAAGACCAAAGTTGGTTTAACTTTTATTTATAGCCAGTTTTATTTCTGTGATCTTAATGCTGTAGTGTTTGGGTTTCAAGCACTGTAGACAAATGTTTATTTTGTCTAAAAACCATTTCACTGGAATTTCTTTTTTTAATTGTGGAACATTTATATTGGTGTTAGGTTTTATAAAAGTTTAATATTTCCAAATTTAATTTTTGAGCCAAATGTAAATTGACAGTGTCTAAATGTTGCACTAGAGCAAGGATTGGTGTAAAATCCTGGCCTTCTGAAGACACTGGGAGCACCACTGACTGGGAGCACGCCCACTGAATTTCAATAGGGTCAGGATTTTATCAGATATATAAAAAGTGCACAGTTGGGAACCTTAAGGTACAATAGAATACAACTTTCCAGGTACTCACAGGCCAAGTTTTAGTCCTAACAACCTTGATAGCACCCCTTTAATAACTGTTACTATATCTATTACAATGGGAGCCCTTGTATATATGTGACCAGACACATCTCAGAAGTAAGGCTTTGCAGGTTTGGACTTTTTTTTTTTTTTGTGGGAAGCTGCAAATCACAACATAGGAAAATAAAAAGGCCATTAATGACATCTGATATTTATTTAACATCCTGTGTGCTTTGACTTTAAGTGTTCAGAACATTAAGCCCAGCCCTTCTAAATAATTTTAAATAATTGGGAATAATCACAGTGCTGAATAAGATGAAATCTCATCATAACCCTTTGATGATATTGAAATATTTTGTGGTTGTAAACACTAGACTTTCAGGGACAGTTTTTGATAGAAAAAAAATCTTCTATTTACTAGCTTTAAAAAAATAAAATAAACAAAAATCGAGCACCAGCATGTTCAAATTGATTTGATTGCATTGCTTGATCCTCTCCAAAGCTCATCAGTGCTCCATCCTGTTTTACAACACAAGTCCCTTCATCCAACACTGATCTTATTCATTTATCAAACTTCAATTCATGCTGTCTACCTGAAGACATGTGGTTACTGAGGTGCCAGTAAATAAACCAATATTCAGTTTAGACCCCTAAGTCATCCATCCATCATTTTATGCTAAAAGCATTAGTGTTGGGTCAGAAGGGATAACAAGTAGCAAAACCAATCAAAGGGATTAAGAACTAGCATCCCAAAAAGGAAGGAACAGACTGGTAGATGCTTAAGGACATCTATGAACCCTTATTGACAGGGCCATTTTTAACACATTCTCCATCTGAAAAAGAAGATTTTGTTTCAGCAAGGTCTAAACAGGCTTATAGTGCTGGGTTCTTTCCCATCTTTACATTTTGCCCTCCAAACCTCATTGGGAGCAACATCTAAATAAGCACATCAAATCTTAAAAACCATCAGTCAATTTCCATCATCCTACATGCTGTTGAGTTCTGAACTATTTTCATCAGAAAGGCTGATCCGAGCCCTGTTTCCCCTCCTACCCCTAACCCTCTTGTTCTGTCCCTGGGATTTATTGAAGATCCCTGCCTACCTAGTGATTTTCTAACAATCATCATTTCTGACTAGTTTTGATTTATGTTGTTTTGAAAGTTTTTCTTTGTATTTTAATGTGTATTTCACTCCAGTGGGATTTGGGATACAGTTTGACAGACACTGTACAAAATAAAACTATATTATAAATTAGGTTCTGCTCCTTTTGATGTAAATGGCCAAACTCTCATTGACTTTAAGGGGAGCAGGACTGGGCCCTTGAATTCTACTGTTCTGTCACACTGGTAATAGATATTATCTGACTGTCTGCCCCTTGCTCATAATGCTAGATCCAGACACCCACTCTCTAACTTTTACTGGATTGTTTATACTATAAGTCACACACTCATCCCCTAGTCTCTCTCTCTTGCCCAGTTCCAGTTAACAGGCAAAATCTTGCTCACTTTACTCATGCGAATAGTCCTAGTGATTTCAGTGGAATTACTCCCATGAGTAAGGTGAACAGGATTTGGCCCAATCACAGAAAACACTTTATCATGTTTCACTCTTCCATGCCAATGCCATTCCCTTTTCTTTCCAGGATGCATACTGTATTATTTAGTGTGCCACCACGATTTACACAGCTCTTGAATTTTGAATTACATACCATCAAATTCTCTAAGGGTATGTTTGCACTGCAATTCAAAACCTGTGGCTGACCCTGCTGACTCAGGCTCACAGGGCTCAGGATGCAGGGCTGTTTCATTGCTGTGTAGACTTCCAGGCTTGGGCTGGAACCTGGGCTCTAGGACCCTGTGAAATAGGAGGATCCCAGAGCTTGGGCTGCAGCACAAGACCAGAAGTCAACACTGCAATTAAACAGCCCTGCAGCTCGAGCCCAGTGAGCCGAAGTCAGCTGGTTTGGGCCTGCTGCAGGTTTTTTATTGCAGTGTAGATGTACCCTAAGTTACACAATAGGCAAAGCATGAGTAACTAAAAAAGCATGTGATCCATTGCTATCATTCATATAATATGGGTCCAATTCTGCCCTCAGAGATCCTTGCACAGCTCCAACTGATTTCAGCATAAGTTGTACATGCTTTTGTAAGGGCAAAATTTGACACTAACTCCATCAGGCAAAACTTTTACGGGCTTCTGATATGCTGCAGTACAGTCAAGACTCTAGCCTAGTACAGTTGCCTAAACTTTTTGAGCACAACTGTTCTCAATGAACTCATCAGAGACTACTCATCGACTTTAGATTCCCAGAGGTGCCCATCAGCCTAATGTATTTATTTATTCATATTTATGCACTGTGCCTAATGCACAATAACAACTTGCTCGTTTCTATGTGACTAAATCGAAAAGGATATTTCCATTCGACGATGCTGATGCATGCCCTCCGGATGGGATTTTTCAGCGTTAAACACAGCAATGCCCGGGGAGGACGTGTAGCTGTGGTTGTACCCTGTTTTTTCTGTTTCCCATACTGCTGTCGTTTCCTCTGTGTGGAGCTAGCTGTGGATATTGTTGCATTGCCAGCACTACCCATCAATTTGGCCTGCCTGGCAGCATCGATAGCAGCCTGCCATGACAGAGCTGCCCCTGGAGTAGGGATATGCTCTGGGGCAAGCCCTGCAGCTGCGTTGGCATTCATGTTGGCATGAGCTGGACGGGGACTCCCATAGTTGGAACCTAGGAATGAAAAACAAAGAAATATATTAAGCTATATTAGCAGGAGAAGGAAACATTACTTTGAAAGAGCTTAAGCTTCAGTAAAATAAAGATTTCAGGTTAAGTAAGCGTAGGGTAAAGTTAACAAAAGTTAACAAAAGCACTTCCCTTCAGTTCAACTTCTTCATTTTATGGGAATACTACTCTGCAGTGTCAATCGCCTTGAAATACTCTCACATGAAAATCCATGGACATGGAGTTGTTTACAACCTTCAATCAATACAATCACTAGGCACTCAATGTTAAAAGAAAATGTCCACCTTTCCCATCTTCTCCCACTCATTTAGCCAAGTTCAGTAGTTTGAAAGTTCATAAAGGTCAGGATAGATCTCACTCCTTCAGGACTAAATAGACTAATGTCATACATGTAAATGTGTAGAATGACCCCAAATGAGGCGCATGCACACACAAAAAGAGAGGGAGTTTGACCTGACGTGTGCATAGGGGTAAAGGGGTCTTCTATTCTTTTCAACAGCATAGGGGACTGACATCATAGCTACTTTAAAAAAAAAACACTCCCAGGAGCTTAACAAAAACCCAGGAAAAGCGAAAATGTAAAGAAAAAAACCAAAAATAAAAACATAGCTTTAAAACTCCTTTTATGAATTCATTCCTGAGAGTATGTTGTGTTGGTGTCATGAACTGGTGACTTTTAAACATTATTTCTGCTGCTTGTATTTTAAAGAGACTGTCACATTTGAACAAACCAAAAAAAACCCCACCAAAATGTTACCATTCAAAGAAATTATCTCAGCCAATAAATTTTTAAGTACTCTTTCCCATTATTTAAGACATTTGTGTTTTACTAAAAGTTTTCAGACACCTTCTCCTTGATCATGTACTGAAATAATGCAAACTCTAATTCATATATTCAGACCCAAATTACTATGTCTATGACATCTGTTTGCTATCATTAAAATCCTGATGCTCCAAATCTTTAGCAAGATGACCTCACTGTAAGGTGAAATGGCACATGAGCTTTTGTTTAGCTACACCCTTTTGTGATATGTAAACAATGAGCCACGTTCTGGCTGTGAACTACACATTTGCATATGCTCAAAAGGAAAGCCTCGAAATTCTATTATATATTTTTATCTGTGAACTAGGCAGTAGCTCATGTTTTGGGATATTAGTAATTATATTAGGAAGCTGGAATGTCCTGTAGCAGTATAAATTTGAACCAATTACAATTACTCCTTCACAGCACATAAATAAATTATTCAACTTGTGAGAACATCAGCTATCCTTGAGAGACAGCAGTTCCCTTCACCTCTGATCAGGTGCTGCTGCTCTTCACAAAGGCATACTCGCAAAGGGGAGCAGAAGGGGAGAAACCAGAGGAAGGAGTTAGATCATCTTACATAGCAGAGCTAGCTCATTACCTAACATTGACTGTGTTCTGCTTTAAGGAGGATTAATAAAGAAATCCAGTGATATTTAAGCAGGCAGACCAATTGAGTTCCTGTACAAGGGAAACAAAAGGGACCAGAAGAAGGCAACCTAGTGCCTCCTATCCGTAGAATACATTCTGAGAGATGATTAAAAGTGGGGGAGGGAAGTTAGCAAGTTGCTTGGAAATCTTTTTTTTTTTAAATCTTCTGTAATTGTTGCTTTCAGATTGTCTATATAGTGTCAAGATACCACAGCAATAGCTGCATTATAAATGCATTAGAGTGAACAGAAAGATACAATTAATCTGTTGCAGTCTTCTGCTCTAATCTATGCCCCTAAGTAAAAAGCACATAAGATTTTAAAATACATCTCTCACTGAAAGAAGAGACAGAAAATTATTAGGTCAGCTGATGTTTTATTTCAGGTTTCAGAGTAGCAGCCGTGTTAGTCTTTGCGAGAAGGTGCCACAAGTAGTCCTGTTCTTTCTGCTGATGTTTTATGTCAGCCATCTCCATGAGATTATCAGGCTGTTCTAGTTTTCTTCTCATAGCAGGAAAATTTTGAGCTTGTCTCCTGCTCTCTCTGTTATTTGAAGACCACACATCCACCCACCCCAAGTTCATTGCAATATGAGAATCCTTCGGGAGTCCCACCATATTCGAGGGAATAAAGATCTTCCAATACATGAAGACCAAAATAACATACTGAGATTCCGACTCAAATTCTTTTTAGATTGCAATGCAAGATTTTAAAGACTTGGGATTTCTCCAAGGATCAGTGGCAAGCAAGGTGGATGTCAAACTCAATGACCCAAACACACAATTCATCATGGACCCAATCAAAGATCCCAGCAGCTTTTCACTCTCATAGAATATAGGGTCCATTCTGAACTGTAACCACATCTGATGGCAGATGTACCTACATCCTCCATAAGACATAATCCTATTTGTGACTGCAAAAACAAACTTCGAACTATGGAATGCCTTGTCAACCAATGTCCTCAGTGATCATTTGCTGGTGATACCTCTGCCATTCACTTCATGTCACCTGAGGCAATCAACTGGACCACCAACCTAGATTTGGACATCTCACACATTACTCGTTTTTATGCCATACGAAAGAAGAAGACAACTGAAGACCACGTGGCTAGGCACCATGGGTTAAAGCTGATTAATAACGAGGGTGCAGTATGTTAGAAAGAAAACAGAAGTGGACTGGAGCCAGAAATGTGGTGCTTCACACCCATACAAAACAGTCAGAGTGCAGAAAAATAGATTTTAGGGCAGAGTACATAGGTTGCCTAGATCTTTTCTAGATTAAACAGTTGGTAACATGGCAGACAAAACACACTTTACATTTTCTATGCCTTGGTGAATTGGTGCACTATTAGTGTGGGACAACAAGTCTCCAGTTCTTATCAATTATACTCTGGGTTGCACATTTATTTTCAGACTGTTTTCATATGCAGTGTTTTCCTTTATCTTCCCTTTCCATCTCTCTAACCTAAAGCTGCTCTTTAATACACACTTTTTGGAGAGGATAGGAAAAGATCTGTGTTTTACAGAAGAAGCAAACTTACTGACCCATTACCACTGTGTTCTGACCATGCTGGCTGGATCCCACTGTCATGAAAGTAAACAGCCGCTGCATTCTAACAAAGACTTCTCTACAATTCGGGAATTTCTCTGTTAGTACTGCTTATTAGTTAGGTTCAACATAAGAACTCAAGTCTACGCATTTTGACTGATGTATTGGTCTGGTTAAGAATGCAATCTTCTAGTGGCTTCACTATCTTTTGTTTCTACTGCGGTGATGAGGCCCATAATAAGTCCTTTGGCACAAATTAATTTTAAATGACTAGTCAATGACAGTTTAATATTAACAAATATTGAAAATATTGATTACTGATAAAGATCTGTCTGTTTAATGAGTTTCTGAGATTGCAGACACTATCTGTGCTCCATAACTAAAGGCAGTGACAAATGACTTGATCTACAGGCACTTTAGAGAAATGGTTTAAATTAAAAAAAAAAAAAAATCACACAAAGCTCACACAGTTCCATACAAAATGGAATAAACCACTGATATCACCAGGCAAAATAGTACCAAAGGCACCATAGCCAAAACTTGCAAAGTATTCTCTTATAGGGCAAAATTCACTCTTCTCCTTCAGAGGGTCGGTACTAAACCATAAGTGTTCAATGGTGCAGAGGTCTCATGTTGGACGGCTGAAGAGCAGGAGTGAATTTTACTGAGAGCAAAGTCGTTTTTCATGACACTGTAGCACAGTGGCCACCAACTGCCTCTAATTCTCTTTCATCAGGGCCCTTTAATAACTCACTATTTAAAAAGAAAAGGAGGACTTGTGGCACCTTAGAGACTAACAAATTTATCTTAGCATAAACTTTCGTGAGCTACAGCTCACTTCATTGAATGCATCCGATGAAGTGAGCTGTAGCTCACGAAAGCTTATGCTCAAATAAATTTGTTAGTCTCTAAGGTGCCACAAGTCCTCCTTTTCTTTTTGCAGATACAGACTAACATGGCTGCTACTCTGAACCCTGTCACTATTTAAAGATAATTCAAACAATTCCCACAAGGGGTTCCATTTATTTAGTCTTCTGGTACACAGCAGCCCTCCAGGCCTCAACCCTAGTTCAGTCTCTGTCACTCTGTAGTCCAAAATAACACAAAGTCTTTGAAAACAGAACACAAGCTCTCACAGTCCCAGTTTCAGCAGAGCACAGTCTGCCTCCTAGCATGCCCAGCCTGGAATTTGTGCTTCTCCACAGGTTCTCTCATGTGGTGCCTTCCCCTACTGACTAAGAACTCCGCAGAAGCCTTCTGACTACTCCCTGCAGTGTCTACACGATACAGTTTCCTAGGCTTTATCCAACAGGCGGGCCGGGCCGGGCTGGACTCGGCTCCCCTCTCACCCCCACCCCTGGCTGCAACTGCCTTCTGCCTTTTACTTTGGAATCCCCTGATTCCCCTCAGGTGGGGCTCAGCCTGTAATCAGGGCTAACTTAGCCACAAGCTATCCTGTCCACAGGTAACCCACCCATGCATTTTAATAAATTATTAAATATCAATCAAGGTTGTAAATTTAAAATGAAGTCAAAATGTTGAAGTTAAGATTGGTCTACCAGTGGGAATTAACCATGCTGCACATGCTATACATTACACTACACATTTTACAGCAAAATCACCCAAAATAATGTATTGTGATCACCATTAAAATACTTACAATTGCTGTTTGCAAGTAATTCATGGTGTATGTGTCATACCAATGCCAACAATTTAATGATTTAAATGGTGAAAACTGTATATTCAATGTGGCCAAGTTAATTTTAACATGAGAACCGTAATTTTTGCATTTCCTGACTTAATTTTATTATTTGCAACATTAATGTTGTATAGATGTAGAAAATGAAATGTGGCTGCAGCACTATGGAGTTGTGTAATTGTTCTTTTTGCCTACAGCTCTGTAAACTGTAGCACTCTACAGTTGATGCAGCTGCACAGATATGCAAAAGCCCATGCCCTGGAACAACAGAATTGTATAATTG